ATGAAAAATAACTTGCGAGTTATGTCTCCAATCTTATTTAACCCCGTATGGAAAGTCGCTATAATAGCAATGACCCAAAAGAAAATAATGCACTATTGCTTTTAAATAACTCCATTGTTCCCACTATAATCAGATAATTTATAGTGTAGCCTTTTTTTTAAATCTCGCTCACACGTACTCCAGAGCGCAAACATACAGACAAAGAATAGAAATATGGCTACAGCATTGCGTATTGAACATGTTGAATAAGTGGTTGTTAAACGGGCATCTAAACGCACGCGAGATGGGTTATAGGTTAAATCACTGTCCTCCAAATAGTATCCTCCCAAGTACAATCTCTATAGGAGGGAATGAGTTTCATGAAATACCTGACTAATAAAAAGCAACTTCTGGTGACATAACTGTGTCTCACAAGTAGCTATGGGCAAGAGGGCAACGAACACAATGTTCATCTCTATTATAGCCTTTTTTCATGCGAAATGATTAAACACCACTGAGAAGAGCAGTATTTAAATTATTTTGCTCAAGTCCTTCGAAATTCTAATTTTCATTGAAGAATTCCTTAAATGTGTGTAAGGTGAACGCAGAGATGGGAACCATTGTTTTTGCAATGTCTAAATGACACGGCTACCTTTTCTTCTGAAAATGGCGTTGTTCTTGCTTAATTTCGATGGCGTTGTTCTTGTAGAAATTTTGAGGAATCCAAAGAGAGAGAGAGAAAATAAATAAGACCAAATGGCAAACCCTAACCCGATAACGTTATATCCTTGACGAAATAATGCCCGGAGAATTCATTTCAGGAGCATTATGCCGGGGCACCGACCAGTAATGACAGAAGATGTGTCATGTGCTTGATGTTATTGGTTTCGTTTTCACTTTTTTCATATATGTTTATTTTTGTTACCTTCATCCAAATCAACAGCTACCGACGTATGCGGAAGCAATCCTTGTCTCAATGGAGGTACCTGTAATCCCCAATCGAATTCTCAATATTACTGCGTTTGCACATTTGGCTGGACAGGTCAGAATTGCAAAACAGGTGAGAAATCAAGGTGCTATCCATCGTAAGTAATATCGTACGCATCGTAGCAAACATCGTATACACGGTAGTAAACATCGCATATATCGTAGTAAGCATCGCATAGATTATGGGAAACAAATATGTTTCGTAAACATCGTAAAAAAAGTCGAAATGAAGACCTCGTAATTCTGCTTGGAGTATATCAATGGAATAGTAAATTACAGAGAAATGTAGCGGTAGGCTTTTAGATCGTAGCACTTGGCATACTTTGGGAGACACTGTTGTTGTAGCAATTGTTAAGGTCACTACAATTTTAATTTGACAGAATACTATTAATGAAACATCATAGTGAATTTCGAAGGCCTAATATACATCGTTTTACTTATTCTTCCCTATAGCAGTACCCATTATTATAAACCAAAACAACTTTACTCACAACAACAACATTGGATTAGTCGGAACAGCAGCAGCAAGAACAACAACTCCGCTAATAGTATAAGTACAATCTGATTATCATTCCACAATGCAATAACATAAATGATGATATAGAGTGGTGAAGTGTGACGTCATCAAAAAGCTATTTTTTAAATTTCTCAATTTCTTTTATTCACTTTCCGAAAGAGCATACAAAATAATGTCCAAATGTCGAAAACCTATTGTATATGTTAAGTTTTGGCTGAGATATGACCATCTCAATTTCCGATTCCCTATGTCTTTCGGAAAATGAAGAAAAAATGAGAAATTATGAAAAATAGATTTGTATGGTGTCACAGCTTGGGTAATCTAGGCCTTACTATCGGACGCTAGCCAAGGTAACCTTAAACTTTTTATTTCTTCCTTCTACCGTAAAAGTTGTATTTGGTTATTTCACGTAAATTAACAACATTTCAAAAAAATCAGTGTCCTTTTTGTCATACATATACAACAGATATTGATTTCTGCGTAGATAAAACTTGCAGTGAGGGACATATTTGTCACGAGACGGGACACGGTGGTTACGAGTGCTTGTGCCCCGAGGGCTACCAGGGCTCGTCTTGCCAGGAAAGTAAGTTTCTTTAAAAAGATTAATTTTAAAGTGAAGAGCTTATTTCTGGTATGGGTGAACAGCAATTTATGTCTTTTCTCATTCCAGATTGGAAGAGTATTGTAGACAAAATTCCCCTGAAAATACCTAAAACGTTAAGATTAAACTGGAATGTAACACGTGTTTGTAAGTCACATATCCCATTTCTGTGTCCAGTACATAATTAAATCTTTAGCAAGAACGAATCAACTGGACTCTGATGAATTCAAGACGAAAAGCTTTAGTGTGTCCGTATTCTTTGTTATTCTTGGATTTGTAGTATAATTTGTTTACTATTAATATTTTTTGTAGGTCGATTTGATGATTTGTAACACTTAAAGTCTATAGACTCTATACCAATTCTCATAAATATTATACCATTAATCTTTCCAAAATAATAACAGACTTTTATAATAATTACAGTTGCATGAATATAACTCCATTTTGTGTGGTAATTAAGTTCGTCAGAATTCCTAAGTTAGATTTGAAATGATTACACCTGGGCTTAAAAATAATGATCATGATCAAGCTTTGTAATAAAGTCGATACGTATCGTGTATTGTCCATGGGCCGAAATACAATCTCCAATGATACATCTATTCTCTCTCTCTCTCTCTCTCTCTTTCTATATATATATATATCTCTCTCGCTATATATATATATATATATGTATTTGCTTCCTTTCATCCTCATCCCATTCTCCATCTCCCCTCTCTCTCTCTCGGACTCGTGGTATAATAACCCAATTGTTCTTCTCATTACATACATCTAGAGATTCCAACGATTGAACCCCTCGAGCCTGTCGACCCTCCCGAGCCGATCGACATCCGAATCGATGGCGTCGACCCCGAGATGATCCCCGTCATTATCGGTAGTTGCATCGGGTCCTTCATCCTGATCGCCACCGCCACCTGGTTCACGGCCACGTGCATCAAGAACGACGGCTTTCGACGGAAAGCAGAGGCCATCGAGGGCGTGAAGGACCTCGATGTCGAGGATGGAAAGTCGAACGCATACATCAATACCACATACGACCCGGATGACCCGGACGACGAAGGCAAGAATGAAGCGGGTCCATCGACGTCGGAACAGAAGGATGTCGAGGAAGCTGAAGAGTCACCATGCGGATCAGGAGAGACTACCGGGGAAAAGGACGTAAAAGCACCCGACTACGAAGACGTTACTGACAAGCCTTCTGGTTCAGAAGATAAAGTGAAAGATAAAGAGGAGAAGGAGGGGGTGAACGAAGACGTGAAAGAGGTGGTGAAAGATCAGAATGAATACGAAGAGGTCAAGGAAGTGGAATCGAAACCGGAGCTGCAAAAGGAGGAAGACATCCGCGAAGTTGAGAAGACGATGCCGACTGATTTGTCGACGACATACGATGATGATTCGGATTCTCCACCTCATGAGCCAGAGGAAAACAAAGAAAAGGGGGTAGTTTTATCAACGTCACTTTAAAAACCCAAACATATTTCTTTCTTATAATTAATGGTGATTTTTGAAATAATGTACGACCACTTTTAAGAAACCGAAAAGCAAAGTCAAATCAACTGATTATTTTTGGAAGCATTTTATTATTATCTTACAAAATCTACACTATGGAACTGAAAATGGTTGATTCTACAACTGCGTTGATAATGTGATTATACTATTTGGGTGAAAGTCTTTTTTCTTCTTTCAATAACAGTGCTGTAGAAGACGAGTCCAAGCTTATAACCAGGAGAAGAAAATTGTTTGATCTGTTCCCATTTTGTCTCGAAGCCGAGATCTAGACATAGACGTCGAAACATGAACCGTAGAAAAAACAAATACTTTATGACCACAAATAGCATGTAAAATGATAACTACACTTTCACGCAAAATCACGGATTAAGAGAAGATAAAGAACAGCCAAAAATAAGTGGAATAACAATGATGAAAATGAGTGTTTGATAAGCAAGCTGTTTTTAAAGTTAACTTACATAATGCAATTGCACTGGAAAGTATTGGAACCGGAATTGAAGCATTAATCAGTGTCGAAGAACCTTTTTACAATATTGATTTCTTTTTTTTTTTAGCTCATGAAATTTGGTTCCTAAGAATGTAATACTTGTGATGGTGATACATCATGGTGTTCTGTATCTATATAGACGAGCAATTTTTGTGTTCAATTCGTATACGCCTAGTTCACACTGTATAATGTCCAAATAATATTATACACAAAGTCCAATAAGGAAGGCGTGCAGTTTTACTCTCGTGACTGGTATATTAATTTATGGTAAGCTTTCCGAAATATGAAAAAAGGGTGCATATATTAAATCCCATAATTATCTCGTTTTACATAAATATATGTATATATACTACCACTAAACAAAGCAGAACTTAACAATATTGTATTTTATTGAAGATATGGGGTTTTACTTTAAAGATGCTCCTATTTACGAGTATATTTTAACCTGTCTCTTATTATCACCCGTTGGTTTTATCAGGCTTATCCATTCATCATAATTTCGCCAATATTTATTTCAGATAAGAATTTCTTTTTAAATCCTACGTGTCCTGTGCCCTGATAAACTACCAAAATCATTTTCTTAGTTTAACTTGAAAAAGTTTGTTGATTTTGTTCATGTTGTTCATGCTGTTGTTCTTCTTCTTCTAATTCCTCTTCTTGTTGGTAGCGTGTTCGATGTCTTATATATATCTGTGACCTCACACATCGCCGGTGAAGTGGTTTTAAAGTCCGTCGCTAAATCGAGATAGTCACCCACGTAGAATTTTAGTTTTCATTTGATCTTCTGTTCGTTTTCTGACCAGTCACGATTTATCGATAACGCTTTGTACATGACCATACTTGTTTAATCTGGTTATGCTGGAGGGAATCACGTGTTTGAGGACATATGATAGTTTTATGCGATCTAATAACTTCCCGTCAAGATGAATTTGTTTTTCGCCGCAATTTTGTTAGTGCTTGCAGGTAAAGTATAATTATATTTGTTCTGGGTTCGCGACGCGAGGGTTGCATTCAAAATGTGATGAACGCTTCCAAAATAAATTAAAGTACTCTGGCAGTTATACGAAGTGAATTGACTTTGTCTGTTATCCTTTGCAATTATAGTAACGGTATTAGTGCAAGTTTAGAACCAAATAAGGAGATTGATATACACATATTCACATTAATATTTTGGAAGAGAACAAAACGGGGGAGGGGGGGTATCACGGTTATCACCATTCTGTTAAAACTACGCTGATGTCCAAATATCTCTGACAGGTCTGGAAGAGAAAAGATATCACATCAAACGCAGAAATCTCCAGATGCCTTTGCGGTAATAGCTGGAGGGGAGCGTCAAAACACAGTCATAGGGGAATTATTATTATTATTTTATTATAAGTAGTAAAATAGTTCTAGGACAATTACCCCCTAGGCAATCACCCCCCGGAGAATTACCCCCCGCGGACAACTCATATGGAAACGTTTGCTTGTATTTGTCTCATAAAATAAGTTGAACACAAACTGACTCCCACACGGTGTTGAGTGCTCAGGGGTCACGGGCCACTGGCTTCATCGGGCAGGTAGTTCCATTATGTGAATGGGTAAATTAACTATTACAAAATGAGGGGACACATTACATTGTACAATAGGGACACACATTGTTTTTATTGTGCAGAACAAACTCTTTTATTGACTTACTTATTGCATGAAACAATAAAACCAAAATTCATTTTGTATTCCAACAATTGGAGTACAAAGAATAATAACAGGTGAATGAAATGCATAAACACCACAAACACCTGGGGAGGAAGCATTTATAAATTTGAATACATAGAATTGATAAACGACTCCGATGAAACTATAAAACCAAAATGAAATTTGCGTTCTGGCAATTGGAGTACAAAGAATGATAGCAGGTGAGCGAAATGCTTCAACAGCAAAACAAACACCTGGGAAGCTAGGAAGCATCCATAAATTTGAATAATTTAGTTGATAAACGACTCCGCATGTGGACGTTTGTTGGAGCAGAAAGCAGAGGATTCTTAACAACACGAACCCATTTAACAGAATGTCGGAACGTAAATTAAATTTGGCGCGGTTGGAAAATGCATCTTTCTACCCTGCGACTTTAATGGTACGATCCAGGATATTAAAACAGTAAAATGGCTCTTATTTTAAAATTACTCATTAAATACAACCCAAAACTTCAGTGATATCAGAAAAAATATGTTATATCTTACTAATAATTAAAAAAGATGTATAAACATTGTGAAAGTGTCGCATTTTACGATAAAAGTCACTGATTTAGCGAAGATGACGTCATTAGTGCGCTTGCATCAGGGAATTCAAGGTCAAAAGGTCAATTCAGACACTGATAAGTTATTTGTCGAGCCTTTTTGTTTCCTTTATTCCGACAAAATTATACAATCAATCAAAACAACTTTAATACCAGAAGAAAGCTAACGATTAGTATTTTCATTAACCGCTTGCCCCAAAGTCGCTTGACCACAGTGAAACGAGTGAGAGCTTGCGAGAGCGGCCAAAGTGTGATTGAAACTTGCTATTTGCTCTTCTCCGCAACGCAAAAAGAGACGACATTGTGCTGGAAAAATGTATTTTTCCCGACAAGAGTACAGAAAATTTGCATATGGTCTTTTTATATTATACTTTATGAAATGTTACCCGAGTGACTTCCGGGCGCCCCAATGCTGGAAAGAAACGCACATTTTAGAATACTTCACTTTTTCATGGAAAAATGCTTATTTGTTCTATGCACGCAAGTCAGATTGAGCGGATGATACAACGTTTCCATATGCTCCCAAAGAAAATTAATCCCCGGAAAATTACCCCCAAGGACAATTACTCCCCGAGGACAACCACCCCCACCCCCCAGGTACAATTACCCCCCGAGGATAACTACCCCGAGGACAAATACCCTCCGAGGACAACTACCCCCCGAGGACAACTACCCCCCAAGGACAATTACCCCCCGAGAACAACTACCCCCGAGGACAATTACCCCCCCCCCCCCCCCCGAGGACAATTATCCCCGAGGACAACTACCTCCTGTGGACAGTCAGTATTCAATAGCAAAAGACGATCTGACACATTGAGAGATGGCTACTAGCCCATAAGATCCCATGCATGAATCCATACTAGTTCAAGTACTATATAGCACGTTATCTTCCTCATTACTATACATTTCCCTTTATAATTATAATTTGTCCAACGCCAGTGCGGTTGCTGATTTCCATGAAGGATGTAAGCTTTAGGTAAATTGTCCAGCACTTCTCAAAATGCACAGAAATACATTTATCTGGGGCAGCGTTATTTGAACTTGTTGTTAGTCACGGTACAAGTCGGTACCGAAATTAAAAGTTTCTCCCAAATCCCAAAGTCTTCACAGACTATTTATTTTGCATGACTCTGGCACTCGTCAAGTGCTATGTACACACGTATGGGCACATTTAAGAATAAAAAAGGAGAAGACATTTTCAAACTGGTAAAAGATTAGTTTGTAATCAACACACCAGAAACGATTTAAGGTACTGTATGCAGGCACTTTGCCGCCGAATGAACATGAATAAGAAGTGATATATTCGGTCATGACCTTGAAACATGAATATGAGGATATTCGGGCCTTTCGTTGCCCTTATTTATCATGTTTTTAAATATAATGAATGAGGTAACAATGTAATCTCGAGCGAGGAAGAAATACACTTTATTATCTTTAAAACTTTATTTTCTCATGTAATTACACACTCTCACTGTTTCTGATATTTTTTTCTCCACACAATCAACGTTTTCCTAATTGTAACTAACATTCTCTTGCGGCACCCGGATAAAAAAAAACGCTGCGCTGGAGTTACAAAATCAAATGAGACGAATTACCAGAGAGCGAATATTTATTTTCTTTACACATGGCACCGTACATTTAACTTAAAGGCAATTTCTATTTTAAAATAATTTACCGAACAAGAAAACATATTATACAACATAAATATATAGGTACCGTGAAGAAAACCTTAATTTTGGATCATGGATGAGGGCCCATACATACAAAGACAAATACACGATCAGCTGATTATAAAAGTTACAGAGGATGAATAAATGAAATCTTATATCCTAATTTGATTGTTGTGCCATTGTTGGTGAGAGAGCCCTGTAACGCGTACTCATCTGCGCGCAATGTATTTTTAAATTTCTAAGAAATGTAATTTCTGTTTTTCCTCGGTGGCAAAACTACGGGGGAATTGGGCAAACTCCAGCCCCCCCCCCCCCGCCCCCCCCCCCCCCAAATCGAGATGAACAATTTGAAAAGACTGAAATGAACTTCATAAATAACTAAGAAATTTTATGAAATTTTATGAAATTTTCTGTAAATAGCAATTTGGAGAGAACCTCGCATTAAACGTCACAATTTTACACATTCCTCGGGGGTGATTGCCATTAGGGGGTAGTTGTCCTAGGGGGGGGGGTATTGTCCTCGGGTGGTAGTTGTCGTCGGGAGTAGTTGTCCTCGGGGGTAATTGTCCTCGGGGGTAGTTGTCCTCAGGGTAATTGTCCTCGGGTGGTAGTTGTCCTCGGAGGGGGGTAGTTGTCCTCCGGGGGTAATTGTCCTCGGTGGGTAGTTGTCCTCGGGGGGTAATTTTCCTCGGGGGGTGGTTGTCCTCGGGGGTAGTTGTCCTCGGGGGGTAGTTGTCCTCGGGGGGTTAATTCTCCGGGGGGAATTTTCCGAGGGGTAATTGTCCTTGGGGGGTAGTTGTCCTTGGGGGGTAGTTGTCATCGGGGGGGTAATTGTCCTCGGGGGGGTAGTTGTCCTCGGGGGGAATTCTCCGGGGGGGGGGGATTTTCCGGGGGGTAATTGTCCTTGGGGGTAGTTTTCCGGGGAGTAATTGTCGGGGGATGATTGCCCAGGGGTTAATTGTCCTGATACGGTAGTAGTAGTAGTAGTAGTAGTAGTAGTAGTAGTAGTAGTAACAGTAATTTTGTTTGTGTGTGTGTATATATATATAAATATATACATATATATACAAACACACCCACATACACACACCCTCTCATGCACACATATGAATATGTAATATATATATAATCATGTATATAATACCTGTTTGTAATATACCTTGCCAGTATACCCAACTTTTCTGTAATAAAGCCTGCTGTTTTTGCACACCAGTATCCAAATTTTCAGCTTTAACAAATCTGCTGCGCAGTTAGAAAAGTAGTTGGAATTCATTTCTTGAGAAGGCTTAACTACATGATAATATTTTAGGTAAAGACCACATTTGGCTTGAAAAATGAATTACCAACTGTTGTATCATCTGAATTCGTTTCCAAAACCAGTTTGACATTGAATTATGTGTTCTTTGAACCACGCACTTGGCTTTAAATGGGAAATTCATTCTTGATAAGAAACTGCTCTGAAAGAAAGCATACAAATCGAAAAGAACATTTATGACAGTTTAAATAGAATAGGAGAAGCAATGAGTAAATTAAAGCATTTTTGTATAACTTTAATAGTATAAAATATATTAAACTTTCAAATACGTTTAATCGGTAATGTCATTATGATATATAAAGCCTCTCTCATTTGTTCGAACAAAGAAAATCACTAAATTGTACCTTTGTTTAAAATTCTTTACTTATGAGCAAAGTTTCTTGTTAGAGGACTTAAATAGTGTAGTGTCCAAGAGGAAAAGGTGCCAAGGATTAAAAACAATAATATTTTAATACAAAACACATGGGAGAGTTGATCATGAAAACGTCCCGAAATAATGACCAAATCAGAGATTTGAATTCCCAAAAATGAAGCGAACTCATATTTCAAGCATTTATAACGTTCTTATTTTTGGTCCGATGTATTTCATCATTTCGCCATTCTGTATCTCTTATTTTCTCTGCTTTCACGTGCATGCAATGACTGCAAAGGTTAAGTTTGCTCTTTGACACTTATCTGAAGTTGTCTATTCGAATATCGAACCGCATACATCATCAAAGATAACAGGTGGTCTGACCCACTCGAAGAAAACCCGGGCATCAAACTTTCTGTGGAAGTTCCTAGACAGCGGTGTCACTTCAAAACGTGATGTATGTCGAATAAAAAAGATACATCACGTTTCAAAACCCTGATCAATAATTTCATTGTTGGACTGATGATATCTCGAAGACTGACTCCCTATATATATATATATATATATATATATATATATATATATGTATGACATAATTCCAAGCATATCTTCTATAAAATATGACCCATTTTGCATATAAAACATGTACTAAATGGGTTCTAAATATAAAATACTTTTGTACCTGCTTTCGCAAAAAAAGGTACATGTACATTGACATTCACTTTTTTGTAAATGTGCAGGTCTTGCATGCTGCCAGGATTGTAATTTTGACGCTAATCGGACATCGAATCAACGATGCGGATGGTCCAACGACTACGAAGACGACTTTGATTGGTCGGTCAGGCGATTGCCGACCCCGACCCCGTTCACGGGACCGTCAGGGGACCATACAACAGGCAGTAAGTAACAATACGAGTCATGGAGGTTATTCCCCTTCGCCTTTCCCTGTTTTGGAGTCTTGTTTACACGTTTGTTTCTTTGTTGTTTGTTTGTTCGTTCGTTGCAATGACGAATATCTTCATTGCCTTGTTTTCGTTCACATTCTGCCCCATTAATAGTCTTCTCCGTGTTTTCCGTGTTGTTTTCGTCAGGAAATCGCATTCGTTTTGCACGTAGTGCTTGATATCACTAGTTATGCCCTTTCCTCATTTCCTTTCAAATTTCATAGACATAGTCTCTAGCATCTCATCAAGGTCACTTAATTCTTTGATTTTTGAAATCACTCATGCATAACCGTCCAGGCGCCATTTTGTCCGTTTCTAGTCCGTTTTAAGGCCTTTCTTTATTCCTTCCTATCTCTACTATCCTAGATCCTACAGGGTTCTAACAAATTCCTCTAAATAGTCCAAGATTATGTTCTGTCATCTGCGACGTCTAACCTGACCTTCAAAATGCCGCCTTCGCACTGCAAATTCAAATCCGAAACCGACTCCGTCAATACATTGCACGCAAATGTCAATGGTGTCGAACTGACCGCAATGAAGTGTTCTTTCCTATGATACCGTGCAAATACTTTTGCACGTTTGAACAGGGGTCACTATACAAATTTCCGCCAAGTTATAACACGTATTTTCTATGACGTCTTTTTTCAGACTGATTTTCGCCCCCTTTCCGTCCTAGGCAGTGGCGAATCCAGGGGGGGGGGGGGAGGAGACCCTGGAAAAACCCGTTAATAATACCTTTTTTGGAGGTGGGCAACCCCCCCCCCCTCCCCTCCCCTAAAAAATCCTATGTGTGCCCATGCCTTGAGCCATAATGCATGGCCGCCCAGAGGATTTTTTTTTTTATGTTGGGGACCGGGGTAAAATGCAATAAACTATTAAAAATGTATTGCATTTTATTTTTTATTTTTTATTTATGGGAACTGCCCCCTGCGTACAGTCATGGTTCAGTGACAAAGCAATGGCCTCGTAACTGTGAGGCCCCAGGATCAAAACCGTGTCGATGTGCTATATTAGTGCCCTTTTGTGGGGCATGAATCCTCATTACTGTTATTTATGACTCAATGGCGTGGGTCCCCTAGTTGATAAGCATAGTAGCATACACATGCTTTAGCAGTCACGCAAAACACACATTGGCCAATTATTATTCAATAAAAGCTGAGAATGTATACTATTATCTTGATCTATTATTTTTTAATTATTTTTAAAATAATTACATAAATTGGGGTAAAACAAAAATATTCCAACTAAATGAGCGACAGTGTATCTAGATCTAATTGAGTGATCAATGTCAACAGGTGATGTTTCCTATGAGGCTTGATTTTTTAATTTTGTTTAGTTAAAATTTATTTTACCGAAGACTTCTTGAGTCACTTGTGGGTGGTCAAACAGCCTGTTTAGAAACACAAGTCATTATGTGTATGTTGTTAATTTAATCCTACATTGTGGCAATCGCCATCATCATTGCTTTCCTCCCATTTTTGTCCAGGTGGCAACTTCCTCTACACCGAAGCAAACGGGCGGGACCCAGGGGAGAAAGCGAGGATCTACAGTCCCTTCGACTCCCCGGCCAACGAGGCCGGCACGGACATGACAATGATCTCGTTCTGGTACAGCATGTGGGATGGCTTCGACAGGGGTTCTCCACTTAACAGGACGAACATGGGCACACTCAACGTCTATATCACCTACGACGGCGGGAAAGTCCCGATTAACCCGCCCGTCTGGTCACGCTCGGGATCGCAGACGGATAGGTCCGGATGGAAAGAGGCCAAGATCGTGTTTACGGCCTCCAATCAGTTTCGGGTACGTCAGTTTTTGTTACGATAACCCCCTCCACCCCCCTCAACCCCATTAATTGTTATTTAGCCGGGTACACGTATGCTTGTTCACTCCCTTTGAAAGCACCCCCTATCTCAGGACTGCCAACACTTTTGAACCCCCACCCCCCCCCCCTGCCGCTGGCTTATCGCGGGCTTTTCCTGCATTACAAACCCCTCTAAGTCCAGAACACTACTCAATGTACTCCCCTATCTATGAAATTCAAGATATATTTTATAACCCCCCCCCCCCCCTCCCCATGAAAATGTTCAGGAGTCTACGAGAGAGAGAGAGAGAAAAAACACACCCTTTTTGATATGTTATAACCCCCTTTTTTAATTCCTCATGAATCCAAAGAGAGAGAGAGAGAAAAAAAAAACACGCTTTTAAAAAAAATCTCCGGGTGAAAAGTCAAATTTTATACTCCCACTTTTGTTACAATACTCCTATGAATATCGCGCGCGCACGCTCAGGTTCTCTCTCTCTCTCTCTGTGAATAGATAAACATCATTCGCGATATGGTATTGTCTTCTTTCTTAACCTAGAATATTTCACGATGTCATTTTTCTTAGTGAGGGTGAAAACTACTAGTTTAATTTTAATGATAACGTATGAGTGAATAATGTACCATGCCGTTTATTAAGTTTAAGTATATTCTTATTCTCTTAATTCTCGTCGTACTCGTCCGTCCTCATTCCCCGCCCCCCCCCCTCTTCCACCTCCTCCTTTCTTCCTCTTCCCCTCCTCCTACTCCTCCCTCCTCTAATTCATCTCCACTTCTTTCCTCTTCCTCCTCCCTCTTTCTCCCTTCCCCACTCTTCCTCCTCATCCCCTCCCCACTCTTTCTCCTCATCCCTCCTCCCCTCTTCCTTTCCTCCTCGCTCCCCTACTGCCACTCATGCTACTACTCCCTCTTCTGATTCTTCACCTCTTCCTCCTTTTCCTCCTCATACTTCCTCCTCCTTCTACTCCTCCTTCCTCGATTGTTTCCCGCCCTCCTCTTTTCCCGCGTCTTCCCTCTTTTCTTCCACTTCATCTCCTCCCTCCCCTTCTTCGTCGTTGTCCTCCTTGTCCTTGCCCAGATTGTGTGTTTGTCCCTTTATGTTCTTCCTTAATTCTACTTTTATTTTCCTTCTTTGTCTCTTCCTTCTTTCCTCAGATTGTATTTGAAGGTGTCATAGGTGAAGGAGAAAGATCTGACATCGGTATTGACGACGTAATGGTCAGACAACCCAGTAAGTTATATTCCATTGTTCCATAATAACAGATTCATTGATTGAGACAATAAGTCAACAACAACAAAACCTTGAAAAATCTATTCAGAAGATAAATACAGAAAGAAAGCCTTTTAAGCTCATGTTTTACTTTATCGAAAGCCTTTGAATAATCAATGAAAGATATGTACACATCCTTTTGCATTTCGATTGCTCTCTCCATTATATTTCTAACCACAAATATTGCATTTCTTGTGCCCGCATCCTTTACAAAACCAAATTTGTTCCCTTCCGACCATGGGATTTATTCTACTTCTTGCTCTTGAAACCAATATTTTAAAATTAATCTTAGTAATATGGCAAATAAGGCTGAGGCGTAAAATAAAAAGATGTTGTATTGCCCTCTTTTTTTTTACCGTTTGAAAAAAAAAAAGTTTATTGAAAACAAAACTATTATTAAAGTATTCAAAACTGAGAAATATTAGCCCAAAGAGGGAGAAAGAAAAGTTATATACAAAAATTGGTAATGGAATTACATCAGGTGTCAGCGAATTATGATGCACTACACATGGACACTAAATACTATGTGCATGGCTTTAACCATTCATTCTATTAACAGAAATCCCCAACACCTGTGACTTTGAGAGCAGTGAGATGGGTGATCTGTGTTTCTTTTACCAAGAAGACATCGAAGACGACTTCGACTGGACGAGACACTCTGGTGAAACGCCCACTCTTGACACTGGACCACCTACTGATCACACCCTCATGAGCGATACAGGTTAGCGCACTTTCAGAAACACACCCGATATTGGAGGACAGTGAATGTCCTTCTTTAGACGGACAAGTTTCGCATGAGTAAACACGCTTGTCCTTTTAAAAAAAGTCTACGGCAGTATCTTGTGTGATTGGAAGAATATACAACGTGTTTAACAATTTTCACTCATCATGTTTTAAAATATTCTTAAAGCCACACTGTCCTACTTGTAGCTACTTGCTCCCTCTATATAGAAAACAATGCCTAATCGGTGACCATTGGTCCCCCGTGATCCTCTTTTTATTATGTTAATTGAGAGCTGAGTTGATGGGATAGCCACCTGTCCAGTGACCTTGCAGTGTGGTCTACTCCCTACTTTAACCTATAAAGAGAGCCATATTTAAAACCGATACTTCTCTATACTATTTTAATACCAGAGACATGTGGGTAGACTCTACTAATGTTTCTTTTGTACGACAAGTACAGTTATCGCAGACTCAATTAACGAATCTCTATACGTTTAAAAAGAAAACTTTGATATTTGTAATATGATTATTTATTGGTTTGTCATACAAGTCCTATCTGTGAAGTCTCTGAAAATGTATTTAGTCACTATATTTATTATAATAATCATTAGTGGTGTTACTACAATTATCATGATCATGATCATGATATAGGATGGCAAGTGCAAGAAATGATTATACAGAGATATGCATACAACATTTTTACAATTATCTGCAATAACTGTGTTTCCTTATTAGGGCACTATATGTACATCGAAACGACACGCAAAAATGATCGAGATACTGCTATCTTGAAATCCGTCGAGTTATTCAAGGAAAGAACACCTTGTAACGTCGACTTCTACTACCACGCTTTTGGGGACAATGTTGGTGAGCTCTCAATGGCTATTTCATATAGCTATACTTCAATTACCTACGTGTTTGTAAATGGCCAAAGCAACCTCACTGATTCGTGGAAGCACTTCAACGTATTCATTCCCCCGAGCCTGGGATATTACAATGTGAGTACTTCACCTGCTGTTCGTCTTCCTTCTACAGTGTAGGTATTATTGCGCCCGGTGCTAACAATTAAATCGTTTACTTAACAATACCAACAAGAAACGTGAGCGAGTGGTAGATTTTCTCCTTAATTTTAATTTCATCATGTTTTTATTTCAAATTAGGACCAACTACCCCCCCCCCCCCCCCATTAAAAAAAAGCAATTTCATGTACATTTCAATATACTCAAAGGAAACTTCAGGATGGAGCAGTGCAATCATAGGCGTACGAGCATTTCGTCATTAGGAGGGGTGAGCCTTCTTAGTCTAATATCAACTGTTCTGTTTACACACACGATATTCATTTTGGGGATTTGTTATACAGTGCGTCCCAGAAAAAACGAAACCGAGAATTATCGATGTTTTATCATAACTTAATCACAATTATAATTAATAAATAACACATATATGTAAAGCTTAAATCCTCCTCTTTCATGTGATGCAACTCATATGATGCATATTTCATATGAAAAATGAGCCAGGAATAACAAAGTTCTCTTTGTTTAAAGTAATGCTTGCATTTCCATAATTTGATTAAACGAATTCGTTTTCACTGACTGCCTGCCGTAGCAACAACCGGAGTTGACAAAAGACTTAACTTAGTTTCGTTGACGATCAGCCATGCAGATTGACCGTGCTTATTCCGTGATCTGATCGGCCAACACCACAACATCGACGCAAAATGATAGTAATAATGATAATAATAATGATAATAATAATTTTTATTAAAAAGAGAATAATAAGCATAATTATCATAATAACAGTAATATTGATTATGATACTGAAAATGAGAATGATGATAACAATAATAATAATGATAAAATACTTTCATATAGTGTTTAATCAACGTGAGTAACATAAAGAAATTAAATGAAGAAAACATACCTAATTAAGATGGTTATTTGATATAAAAGTAGAAAAACGAAATAATGTAAGACAACATATAAGGTGGAATTATACAAATTTACAAACTAATAACGTTAGTATTACATGTGAAACATTTTAGAATCTACTGGGTGAATGTCTTGCTAGATAGCTTTACCCTTGAACTTTTAAAAAAAAAAGATTCATCGAACCAAGCACAAAACCAAAAAATATACGCCATGTTGTGACCCAGTAAAACTAAGTTGGCCACACTCTGTGTATAGATGGCTAGCGAAATTATACTCCCGGGTGTAAGTGAGAGCATCCACACGGTCAACTTACGCTACCCTCTAGTCGTGTTAGCGAGTTACTTTTGGAAAAATCCAAGAGTAAATAGGTCGGGATAAAGGTAGACGTAGCTAACACAATCATCGTTCAGACAGTCCTTACTCCGACCTTTACACCTACCTTACCATATTTACCCCGACTAGCTCTTAACACGACCTTTACCCCAGGGTAACTTGCCTCCGTCTAAACAGGACTGATAAACCTTACCCTAACCCTAACCATTTACCGAAATGATGCCCGGAGCCATTGTCGCAGGAGCAATTCAATGTCGGGACATCGTCATGCTCTTGATGTTGTTGTTGTTTCTACCACCAAAAAAAATCTTCTTTTTTTGTGCTAGATTTCATTTATTGGATCACGTGGCGATGGCAATTTGGGTGATGTCGCAATCGACGACATTTCCCTAAGTGAAGGTTGCTTTGGTGAGTAGTGAAAAGGAAATACCATTGTGCGTTTCTTTGTTTCTTTGCTTGTATGTTTGTTAGTGTTTTCTCTCTTTTCTGATGAAACAAATATTTGGAATACCCTACCATTGTCTCACCAACACCACCGACACCAAACTGAACAATATAAGATATTACACTGAACAGGCAGGAATGGGTCGGGTGGGATTGTGGTGTATCAGACCTTTAATTCACAATCCTGCTCAATAAGCAGTATATTGTACGACATATTATCTGGCTTTAATTGCTCCGTGGCCAGTTTCGTAGACTAACCCAATTCTAACTTCAACCCTGGACCTAACACTATGTTACACCCTAAGTGCATTTCCAAATCTGAGACCGACATGCAAACCCTGACCCTATAATGCTATATGTGTGACGACATAAAGCCCAGAGAATTCATTCCAGGAGCATTATGCCGGGCACCGACCAGCAGTTACAGAAAATGTGTCATGTGCTTGTTGTTGTTGGGTTTTTTTCTCACTTTTTTCATATATTTTTATTTGTTTGACCTTCATCCAAATCAACAGCTACCGACGTATGCGGAAGCAGTCCTTGTCTCAATGGAGGTACCTGTGATCCCGAAGCGAATTCTCAATATAACTGCGGCTGCACATTTGGCTGGACAGGCCAGAATTGCGAAACAGGTGAGAAATCAAGCTGCTACCCATCGTAAGTAATATCGTACGCATCGTAGCCAACATCGTATACACGGTAGTAAACATCGCATACATCGTAGTAAGCATCGAATAGATTATGGGAAACAAATGTTTTTCGTAAACATCGTAAAAAAAGTCGAAATGAAGACCTCGTAATTCTGCTTGGAGTATATCAACGGAATAGTAAATTACAGAGAAATGTAGCGGTAGGCTTTTAGATCGTAGCACTTGGCATACTTTGGGAGACATTGTTGTTGTAGCAATTGTTATGCTCACTACAATTTTAATTTGACAGAATACTATTGATGAAACATCATAGTGAATTTCGAAGGCCTAATATACATCGTTGTACTTATTCATACATATAGCAGTACCCATTATTATAAACCAAAACAACTCACAACAACAACATTTGATTAGTCGGAACAGCAGCAGCAAGAACACCAAGTCCGCTAATAGTATAAGTACAATCTCATTATCATTTCACAATGCAATAACATAAATGATGATATAGAGTGGTGAAGTGTGATGTCATCAAAAAGCTATTTTTTAAATTTCTCAATTTTTGTTAATTTACTTTCCGAAAGAGCATACAAAATAATGTCCAAATGTCGAAAACCTATTGAATATGTTAAGTTTTGGCTGAGATATGACCATCTGAATTTCCGATTCCCTATTTCTTTAGGGAAATGAAGAAAAAATTGAGAAATTATGAAAATAGATTTGTATGATGTCACAGCTTGGGTAATCTAGGCCTAACTATCGGACGCTAGCCAAGGTAACCTTAAACTTTTTATTTCTTCCTTCTACCGTAAAAGTTGTATTTGGTTATTTCACGTAAAATAACAACATTTCAAAAAATCAGTGTCCTTTTTGTCATACATATACAACAGATATTGATTTCTGCGTAAATAAAACCTGCAGTGAGGGACATATTTGCCACGAGATTGGAAACGGTGGTTACGAGTGCTTGTGCCCCGAGGGCTACCAGGGCTCTACTTGCCAGGAAAGTAAGTTTCTTTTAAAGCCCATCTGCACTAGTTTGGCCAGGGGGATTAGACCTTCCTGCAAGGTCACTGACAGGTGGTTATCTCATCAAATCAGCTCTCAATTAACATAAGAAAAAAGGGACCATGGGAGACCAATGGTCACCGATTAGGCATTGTTTGCTATATAGAGGGCGCAAGTAGCTATAAGTATTGCAGTGGGGCTTTAAAATATTAATTTTAAAGAGAAAAGCTTATTTCTAGTTAAAGTGAACAATCATGTATGACTTTTCTCATTCCAGACTGGAAGAGTATCGTCGAAGAAACGCACCTATAGATACCCAAAAAGTTTAGATTAAACAGGATTGTAACATGTGTTTGCAGTCCCATATTTCATTTCTGTTTCCAGTGCATAATTAAATCTTTAGCAAGAACGAATCAACTGGACTCTGATGAATTCAAGACGAAAAGCTTTAGTTTGTCCGTATTCTTTGTTATTCTTGGATTTGTCGTATAATTTGTTTACTATTAATATTTTGTGTAGGTCGATTTGATGATTTGTAACACTTAAAGTCTATAGACTCTATACCAATTCTCATTAATATTATACCATTAATCTTTCCAAATTAATAACAGACTTTTATAATAAATACAGTTGCATGAATATAACTCCATTTTGTGTGGTAATTAAGTTGGTCAGAATTCCTAAGTTATATTTGAAATGATTACACCTGGGCTTAAAAATAATGATCATGATCAAGCTTTGTAATAAAGTCGATACGTATCGTGTATTGTCCATGGGCCGAAATACAATGTCCAGTGATACATCTATTCTCTCTCTCTCTCTCTGTGTCTCTCTCTCTATCTATCTCTCTCTCTCTATATATATATATATATATCTTTGCTTCCTTTCCTCCTCATCCCATTCTCCATCTCCCCTCTCTCTCTCGTATTCGTGGTATAATAACCCAATTTCTCTTCTCATTACATACATCTAGAGATTCCAACGATTGAACCCCTCGAGCCTGTCGACCCTCCCGAGCCGATCGACATTCGAATCGAAGGCGTCGACCCCGAAATGATCCCCGTCATTATCGGTAGTTGCATCGGGTCCTTCATCCTGATCGCCACCGCCTCCTGGTTCACGGCCACGTGCATCAAGAACGACGGCTTTCGACGGAAAGCAGAGGCCATCGAGGGCGTGAAGAACCTCGATGTCGAGGATGGAAAGTCGAATGCATACATCAATACCATATACGACCCGGATGACCCGGACGACGAAGGCAAGAATGAAGCGGGTCCGTCGACGTCGGAACAGAAGGATGTCGAGGAAGCCGAAGAGCCACCATGCGGATCGGGAGAGACTACCGGGGAAAAGGACGTAAAAGCACCCGACTACGAAGACGTTACTGACAAGCCTTCTGGTTCAGAAGATAAAGTAAAAGGTGAAGACGTGAAGGAGGAGGTGAACGAAGACGTGAAAGAGGTGGTGAAAGATCAGAATGAATACGAAGAGGTCAAGGAAGTGGAATCGAAACCGGAGCTGCAAAAGGAGGAAGACATCCGCGAAGTTGAGAAGACGCTGCCGACTGATTTGTCGACGAAATACGATGATGATTCGGATTCTCCACCACAAGATTCAGAAGAAAACAGAGAAAAGGGGGTAGTTTTATCAACGTCACGTTAAAACCCAAACACTATTGTTTACTCTCATAACTAATGACGATTGATGAAACCGACAATCAAAGACAAATCAACTAAAATCAACTGATTACCTTTAGAAGCAGTTTGTTATCATCAGTTTTTTTACGAAAGCTACACCATAAAACTGAAAATAGTTGTTTTCTTCATTAACAGTGTTATAGAAGACGAGTCCAAAGTTTTAACTGTTCGCATTTTGTCTCGAAGTCGATAACTAGACCGAGACGTAGAAACAGATACCGTAGATAAAACAAATACTTTATGACCACAAATTGCATGTAAAATGATAATTACACTTTCACGCAAAATAACGGATTAAGAGAAGATAAAGAACAGCCAAAAATAAGTGGAATAACAATGATGAAAATGAGTGTTTGATAAGCAAGCTGTTTTTAAAGTTAACTTACATAATGCAATTGCACTGGAAAGTATTGGAACCGGAATTGAAGCATTAATCAGTGTCGAAGAACCTTTTTACAATATTTTTTTTTTTTTTTTTTAGCTCATGAAATTTGGTTCTTCAGAATGTAATACTTGTGATGGTGATACATCATGGTGTTCTGTATCTATATAGACGAGCAATTGTTGTGTTCAATTCGTATACGTCTAGTCAGTGGCGGATCCAGCCAGCGGGAAGAGGGGGGGGGGGCCCAATCCGTGAGAAAATATTAGTTGCGACTCAGCCACCGGTGAATAAGCGGGGGGGGGGGGGGGGTAGGAGGCACTTTTTTTTCGTCCAATTTTTCAGGAAATATTTTGCGCCGACTCAGTCAGCCGGTGAATAAGCGGGGGGGGGGGGGGGGGGGGGTGAGACCACTATTTTTATTTTTTTTCACCTAATTCGTGAGAAAAAATTTTTTTAATTCTTTTTTGTTGTTGACCCGTCAGCCCCCCTCCCCCCCCCCCCCCGTGGATCCGCGTCTGCAGAGGATCCAGACGGCGTCAAGGGGGGGGGGGTAGCCAAATCTTAATACAAAATTTAGTGCCGACTCAGCCGGCCGGCGAATAAGCGGGGGGGCGCTTTTGTTTTTTGTTTTATAAAGGTTAACTTTACGTTATTATCCTATTTTTTTTATCGTTTGGGGGGCTAGGGGGGGGGCGTGCCGGAATAATCGCTACGTGGATCCGCCCTTGCGTCTAGTTCACAGTGTATAATGTCCAAATAATATTATACACAAAGTCCGATAAGGAAGACGTGCAGTTTTACTCCCGTGACTGGTATAATATAAGCTTTCCGAAATATGAAAAAAAGGGTGCATATATTAAATCCCATAATTATCTCGTTTTACATATATATATATATATATATATATACTACCACTAAACAAAGTAGAACTTAACAATATTGTATTTTATTAAAGAAATGGGGTTTTACTTTAAAGATGCTCCTATTTACGAGTATATTTTAACCTGTCTCTTATTATCACCCGTTGGTATTATCAGGCTTATCCATTTATCATAATTCCGCCAATATTTATTTCAGATAATAATTTCTCTTTGAATCCTACGTGTCCTGTGCCCTGATAAACTGCCAAAATCATTTTGTTCAGGTCAACTTGAAAAAGTTTGTTGACTTTGTTCATGTTGTTCATGTTGTTGTTCTTCTTCTTCTAATTCCTCTTCTTGTTGGTAGCGTGTTCGATGTCTTATATATATCTGTGACCACACACATTGCTGGTGAAGTGGTTTTAAAGTCCGTCGCTAAATCGAGATAGTCACCCACCTAGAATTTTAGTTTTCATTTGATCTTTCTTTCGTTTTCTGATCAGTCATGGTTTATTGATAACGCTTCGTACATAACCATAATTGTTCAATCTGGTTATGCTTGAGGGAATCACGTGTTTGAGGACATGTGATAGTTTTATGGGATTCTAATAACTTCTCGTCAAGATGAATTTGTTTTTCGCCGCCATTTTGTTAGCGCTTGCAGGTAAAGTATAATTATATTAGTTCTGGGTTCGCGACGCGAGGGTTGCATTCATAAATGTGATGAACGCTTCCAAAATAAATAAAAGCTATGAATTAAATTTGTTGTACTCTGGCAGTTATACGAAGTAAATTGACTTTGTCTGTTATCCTTTGCAATTATAGTAACGGTATTAGTGCAAGGTTAGAACCAAATAATGAGATTACTCTACGCATAAGTCACTTTGGTATTTTGGAAGAGAACAAAACGGGGGGGAATCACCATTATGTTAAAACTACGCTGATGCCCAAATATCTCTGACAGGTCTGGAAGAGAAAAGATATCACATCAAACGCAGAAATCTTCTTATGCCTTTGCGGTCAGAGCTGGAGGGGAGCGTCAAAACACAGTTATAGGGGAATTATTATTATTATTTTATTATAAGTAGTAAAAGTAGTACTTGCAGTAGTAGTAGTAGTAGTAGTAGTAGTAGTAGTAGTAGTAGTAGTAGTAGTAGTAGTAGTAGTAACAGCAAGTTTGTTTGTGTTTGTGTGTATATATATATAGTTCTAGGACAATTACCCCCTGGGAAATCACACCCCGGAGAATTACCCCCCCCCCCAAGGACAATTACCCTCGAGGACAACTACCCCCGAGCACAACTAATCCCCGAGGACAACTACCCTTCGAGTACAACTACCCCCCGATGACAATTACCCCCCGAGAACAACTACCCCCGAGGACAATTACCCCCCGGAGAATTACCCCCCCCCCCGAGGAGAATTATCCCCGAGGACAACTACCCCCCGTGGACAATCAGGATTCAATAGCAAAAGACGATCTGACACATTGAGAGATGGCTACTAGCACATAAAATCCCATGCATGAATCCATATTTGTTCAAATACTATACAGTGCGTCCCAAAAAAAACTATACACTTTTGAAATGGCTGCCGAATAAAAAATATGATATTCTTTGGGGAAAAGTTGTATATGTATGGAAAGCTCATAAACTCAACTTTCATATGACACCAACAAGTTCAAAAATAATTCATGCTTGGGTGAGCACTGCTCACTTTTGTAAAGGGTATGAAAATTAGGTTGCGCAGGAATTAGCCTTCAAATTTGTGAGAGGTAAATCCTTTGGAGCTTACGGAATTGAGGATGATATGACCAATTTATGATCAAATGTGATGAGTTTGGGTTTGCTGAGTGAAATTTGTGGTTTATGGGATTAACATTTTATGCATGAGTGAACAGGAATTGCATTTGTTATTACCGTATAATGTAACTTTCCATCGTAGACTCAGTGGTGTGTTCATGGGAGTCAGGACGAGGTGGTGGTACATGGTGCAGGGGAGGTGAAATGTAGGGTAGGACTTTGTTGGGTAGATGGGGTCAAGAGGACATGTATGCCCCTCCCCCTCTCTTTCTCTCTCCCTCTACTCGGGTATACATGTGCATATCTTGACAATTCATTAGACAATCAACATTCAGCTATCAATCACTTAATCAACAATGTATCAGTCAATCGGTCAATCAATTAATCAATCAAGCATTCAATCACCATTCAGTATTTCAATCAATTTAATCATTCAATAAATAGACCATAATTAATCAATAACTCAGTCAATCACTCAGTCTATCAACCAACCAACCAGTCATTTTAGCACTTGAGTTTCGCACAATAAATACGGTACAGTTAAACTTAAACACAAATTCACAAATTTGTAAAATGAACATGTCAGTCTTTTTTTTTCAGTTTTCAATTTTACAACTGTTTCATCCATCTTGTAAGAGACAAAAGGGGAGGAAATATCTGATAATGGAAACTAAAAATCCAAAGTCTTCCAGTTCAATGGCCCACATGTCCACCTCCTCTTTCGATGCACAATCTTGGTAAAGGTTTTTATTCAAAGTCACAGATGTAAAAAAAAAAAAAAATAACAGTCTGTAACATGGAAATTACAACATGTACCATCACCCCCATCCTGACTCCCATGAACACACCACTGAGTCTACCAGGGAAATTTACAATGCTACAATAACAAATGCAATTCCTGTTCACTCATGCATAAAAGTTTGGTTTAATAAACCATGAAATTCACTCAGCAAATCATGAATGTATCACATCACCCTCAATTTTGTAAGCTCCAAAGGATTTACCTCTCACAAATTGGGAGGCTAATTCCTGCGCAACCTAATGTCCATACCCTTTACAAAAGTGAGCAGTGCTCACCCAAGCATGAATTATTTTCGGACCTCTTGGTGTCATATGAAAGTTAGGTTTATGAGACTTCCATACATATAAAACTTTTTCCCCAGAATCATATATTTTTTTATTCGGCAGTCATTTTAAAAGTGTATAGTTTTGTTGGGGACGCACTGTATACAGTGTAGCACGTTATCTTCCTCATTACTATGCATTTCCCTTTATAATTATAATTTGTCCAACGCCAGTGCGGTTGCTGATTTCCATGAAGGATGTAAGCTTTAGGTAAATTGTCCAGCACTTCTCAAAATGCACAGAAATACATTTCTCTGGGGCAGCGTTATTTCAACTGTTTTTTAGTCACGGTACAAGTCGGTACCCTCTTAAAAAAATTAAAAGTTTCTCCCAAATCCCAAAGTCTTCACAGACTATTTATTTTGCATGACTCTGGCACTCGTCAAGTGCTTTGTACACACGTATGGGCACATTTAAGAATAAAAAAAGAGAAGACATTTTCAAACTGGTAAAAGATTAGTTTGTAATCAACACACCAGAAACGATTTAAAGTACTGTATGCAGGCACTTTGCCGCCGAATGAACATGAATAAAAAGTGATATATTCGGTCATGACCTTGAAACACCAATATGAGGATATTCGGGCCTTTCGTTGCCCTTATTTATCATGTTTTTAAATCTAATGAGTTGTGGTAACAATGTAATCTCGAAATAAAATATATAATATATATTCGGGCGCCTTGCTGTCAAAATATTGTCAGCGAGCAAGGAAGAAATACACTTTATTATCTTGAAAACTTTATTTTTTCATGTAATTACACATTATCACTGTTTCTGATATTTGTTTTCCACAAAATCAACGTTTTCCTAATTATAACTAACATTCTCTTGCGGCACCCGGTTGAAAAACGCTGCGCTGGAGTTACAAAATCAAATGAGATAATGTAAATAGCAATTTGGAGAGAACCTCGCATTATACGTCACAATATTACACATTCCTCGGGGGTGAACGTCATTAGGGGGTAGTTGTCCCAGGGGGTTATTGTCCTCGGGTGGTAGTTGTCCTCGGGGGGTAGTTGCCCTCGGGGGATAATTATCCTCGGGTGGTAGTTGTCCTCGGGGGGTAGTTGTCCTTGGGGGGTAATTGTCCTCGGTGGGTAGTTGTCCTCGGGGGTAATTGTCCTCGGGGGGTAGTTGTCCTCGGGGGGTAATTCTCCGGGGGGTAATTTTCCGGGGGGTAATTGTCCTTGAGGGGTAATTGTCCTCGGGGGGGGGGCAATTCTCCGGGGGGTAATTTTCCGGGGGGTAATTGTCCTTGGGGGGTAGTTTTCCGGGGGGTAATTTTCCGGGGGCTGATCGCCCAGGGGGTAATTGTCCTGATACGGAAGTAATAGTAGTAGTAGTAGTAGTAGTAGTATTAGAAGTAGTAGTAGTAGTATTAGTAGTAGTAGTAGTAGTAGTAGTAGTAGTAGTAGTAGTAGTAGTAACAGTAATTTCGT